TAGTTCCATTACTGGCAACGCCACATGTTCTGCATCATAGCTATGTATAAAGGGGGAGTTTAGAGGTATTTGCTTATATTTCCCTAATAAAACTGAACTGAACTGAAAATAAGCTTTGATGAGCTGAATATCCACTGCATCAGCAGGCCCTGAATCAAGCACTCCCATCCACAAACTCGCTTTGCCTTCTCTTCTACCAAATCCGTCGAAATAAAAGCGAGGGGATGCGTTGATGGGATAACAGATACAAACGGTGCAGTCAAGAGCGACTCATCGTGTCACCGCTGCTAACTCGGGGCCTGGTAGTGAGCAGCATGATGATAATTAACCTAGACAGAATGCACTGCAGCGAGATGGCCTGGAGACGGCAGTAATATTCGATTTAAGTGTGGTACGGCACCCTACGCAAATTAATTGGCAAAGGTTTTTTCCCTTTCGGACATCAGCAAATTGGCTCTACTTGAGTTTCCTTTGAAAACACCTATGCTTTATTAACCTATGTATAGGTATACGCCATTAACCACAAGCAAGCTGTCAATTGCACCCACAAAAATATGTTTGCACCGTGTATGTTCTACCAATATAAAATGCAAGGTTAACTTTTGTTCGGCTATGGATATATTACCAAACAATTATAAATCATTTTGCCGCATGATCCTTGGGACAACTGTGGGTGCATTAACATTATTTCGTGTACTGCAAAATGGTAGGGGATGCACAATAATTTCTCACTCATCTAGTCCAGTTGATACAACGTTAAACCACATGTCGGTCGATGCAAATTAAATTCCCAGCACCATAGTTATGGTTCGGATAAAAAGAGGCAATGAAGCCCTAGACTATAGGGAACATGCAGCCTGGGAACAGTTGCCACAGAGTAATACTCACTCTTTAATCGTCATTGACTAAGGTTATATATAACCTATAGCCTATTCTGAAGCCCTTTTTTCAGTCACGGTAAGATGCTGGCTTTTAAATCAACTTCTTCCTGACCGCTAATATAAA